GGCTCCCGGAGCGGCGGGGAAGGCGCAGCCGCTCCGGTGCGGGCGAGAGCTGGGCCCGTTGTAGCGGTGTGAGGCGAGCGGGGTGGAGAGGGGGCCGGAGCGGGGGCACCTGCCCGCGGTCTGTCGCTCGGCTGGGTCTCCCCCTCCGTACCTGAAGCCGTCCCGGCGGGGCGGCTGTGTTCCCTGAGAGGGTGGCTGGGCCCTGCTCCGGCGGGGAGCCTCCGTGGAAGACGACTTTGCACCTCAGCGCTGAAGCTGGGATACTGAGCAGGAGTAGCGCTGCTGGGGCAGCGTGTGTCCCGCCTGGGAGGGACCCGCCGGGTTCCAGCAGCCCCCGGGAGCCCGCAGCCCCGGCGCGGCCGTGGGGGTCAGTGGAGAGAGGGCCGGGGCCTGGCCTGCTCCTGGGGCAACGTGCCCACAGCGGCCTCCAGCCACTTCCACCTGCTTTTCCCTGTTGGTTTTATATATATATATTATTATTTCCCGGGTGATTATGGTTCGATTCTTAGTCTTCAGTTTTCTGAGGTGCTGGCTCTCTGACCTTCCCGCTCCACGTGGGCGTAAAGGTTTGCCCAGCTCTGTTTGAACTGGCAGCTCCGCAGCCAGCCAGCAACCAGCTCCATCGTTAAAAATCCAGTCTCTGAAAGCACTCGCCCCTTGGAAGAAAGCCTGAACAGGAAAGCTGTGGTAGTGCTCTGCTCTTGCCAGAGGTACGATAAGCGTCAAGACTTTAATTGTTGGGATAACCACGTATCCCTGGGGCCGCGCACGTGCCTCTGAATGAGCGCCTTGTGCGCGGGAAGGAATGAGGGCTGAGCTCCAGCACCTGCAGAGGGAATGCTGCTCTTCCCAATTGCTCCCTGCTGAGGGAATTCAGTGTGGCCTCCTGCCTCCGACACCCACGTTGAGTCTGTATCCACAGATTTTTTTTAAAACGTGGTTCATAAGGGCTCTCTCTAACAGGGTTTTCCTTGAGGCTAGAGCCCAGTTCATTTTTCTTCATTGAAAGCAACAGCATATAAATTAATTGGACACTACGAGCTCTCATGTTCTCAGAAGGTAGCGTTTGAGGGAGCGATAGGTAAAAATATTGCTATGTGAGTTCCCTCTTCATCAGTGAAGAGCTGAGTAGTAGTATAAAAAATAGCAATAATGTTACTGTATTTCTTGTGGCAGCATTTCATTTCCATGGTAAAGATTTTTAATGTGCCCAGTTGACAGAAAATCTGAAAGTATTGCATCATCGCCTTGAGTCTCTGGCAAAGTTGTGGTTAGATTTAGTTGCAGATTATAGATATTTGAGGAGAGCACCCTAGGGGAGGAACTTCTAATCTCGGCCACGATGTTTCTAGTTGCCACTGTCAGGGTGTGCAACTAGATAAAACCCTGGTCTCACTTGGGATAGCCATTTTTGTGTCACTTTTTCCAGGCAGTTATAATACCATATGTTTTCAAGACTAGTAAAAAAGTGCATACTAATGAAAATTAAAATTTTTGTTGGTAACAAATGTGTATGTATCATCATGGGTTGATTTTGATATACAGTTTCTGCTCTTTTTCCTTTGCCTTCTCTGCAGATTTCAACAGGTGGCTCTGTGCTGAGGAGACTTTGATCTCTCCAGTTGTATCCAAAGTGGGCTTTGATCCTCGGGGCTTGTCATAAAGGCTCTTCTTAGTTATTGCTAAATTGTTTTATTGATCAATGAAATCATTAGACACTGCTCAAACTACTCTTTGTTAGCTGGCTAAAAGTTGCATTGAGGAGATATTTTAAATTACTACCCAAATGCTTGGAAAGTCTTAAGGTGTTCTTGGAATTTTGGGTGACTTGTGATTTTAGGTAGCTCATCACCTTGGGGGGAGGGTTCAGTTGCAGTGTTCTCCAGTGTAGAAGTTTTTCTGTGCATGTGTGAAAAAGCTGACTTATTAATTTGTTTGTTTACTTTTCTTTAACAGCTGAAAGCTGACGTCGTTCCAAAGACAGCAGGTAAGGCAGCATCTGGAGAATTTAATACTTAAATATTTAAGGTTTAGATTGGGATTTTCAGGAACAAGAATATTCTGTTATGTTTTAGAAATTATTTCCATGTTCCATCTTCATTTGTTAAATAGAGAAATATGATATGAACTTTGTCAGAACTGTGCTAGTGAGGAGCTGTAATTTGTTGTCCGAATAGTTTGATTTTATAACTTGTGGCTAGACAGTACAGTCCGTATGTTGGGTTATCAGTGGTGAATAAATACGTTTAAAAGCACATTTGTTTTCATTAAAAGCAAACCCTAAAGCAAATGGGAAAGGGTAAAAAGGGATGGTGTCTCTTAGAGTTTCCAAAGAGCATACAGGGCTTTGTTTTCCTTGTCTCTAGCTGATCAGTGCATTCGTGTCACAGAGTTTTTGTGGTTTATCACGTGCTTCCTTCCTAGTCTGCTTGCTTAGTGGTTCTGAAAAACTTGTACTTTTCTTTCAGTTCCCAGTAGATGGATGAATAGCCTTAAAAAAAGGCATCATCTTCACAATTGCTATAGAAAACAAAGGCACAAAACTCAGAAAATAAAGTCTTTGACACCAGAGTGGTGGGTTTGGAGTTAAGATGTAACAGCAAAATAAAGGGGAGATGAGATGGAAAAGGGCTGTGTTTGTACCCTGTTGTGAGGCTAAACAAGCTTTGTTTCCTTAGCTTTATAGAAGAGGTTTCTTAAACAATGGAAACAACTAATAAGTCAATAATACCTTAAAGATACTATAAAATTTTTCAAATTTATAAACTGGGGACATAGTTGATATAGTTTTGTCTCATTATATTATGTATCATGTGTGGCAACATAGTACTTTATGCTTTGTTTTCACAGAAAACTTTAGAGCTCTTTGTACCGGTGAAAAAGGATTTGGATATAAAGGATCCACTTTTCACAGAGTGATTCCTTCATTTATGTGCCAGGTAATATTTTCTTCCTTACTTTTGCTGTTAAATTTATCTGTATGTTATTTATATATTTTTAGAACCAGTTAGACCAGTAGTGACATTTTAAGTGTCTCTTGTCTAACCTTTGCTAACTACAGAATAAAGGAGTGACAGCCTGACTTGCATTTCCGATCTGTTTGCTGTGGCTGTTGCTTAGCACATCTTTTGTACAAATAAATGTAAATTATGTGTAGAGGGTCTTAAAAAGCCTGTCTTAAGGCTTTCTGCTTTTGTATAGCAGTAGCAGTGTGCTTTAGTGGGGGGTATATTTGGCAAAATGGCACTTGCTTGGGAGAAGTGTTTGTGGGTAGAATGACAAACAACCTTGTGTCCTAAGTGAGCTAAGAAAACAACGTGTCCATTCTTTATTCCTAGCAGAATAATCTGTTCACAGTAGAGAATGTGTTTAAAAAAAAACAAACTGTTTTTTTCTTAACATCTCCCTGATAGGAAGGGGAGGAATGAACCAAAAGGGTTGATTGTGGTAGATTTTAGTAGTGACACACCTGAAATGGATTTTGTTTTGATTTAAAGGATGAGTCTTTCAAAATCCTGAATTAAAATCTATGCATGTTAGCAATTTTTTCTTGAACAGCAGCAACAACAACAACAAAACCAAAACAGAAAAAGCCTTCTTTGTACTTGGCTTGGCAGATGAGCAGGATTTCTGTGCTGTAGCAATTCCTGGTTGTCCTCTCTTCCCTTAGAAGCACTACATTTCATTTTTGATTGAAACGAAAACTAAGGTTTTGTGGTACTGACAAAAGGACAAAGGTTGGAAGTCTTGCTAGGGTCAGAAATTCATAAATATAAGACAAATAAAAATCCTACTCTCAGTTCTACCACAAATTTGGGAGTACTAAGTCAGTCCTCCTTGCCTCTCTGTTTTGTCCCCACAAATGGACCTTAAGTGAGGATACTGTGTGGCTGATTCAGTGATAGGCAAGATGATGAAGTAATACTTAGGAATTACTTGGAAGTCATTATCAAGGTGGAAATCCTGTCATAGGTTTCAAATATTTTAAGGTGAGAGGGAACATTAGAGGCCTTTCCACTTGTTGAGATAGTGTTAGTATGATTCAGGTAATTGGAATAGCCTAATTGGAGGTCATCGCACCCAGAACTTGGCAATCCAGATGTCCCCACATGGCACACGGGGTGCAGAGCATTCTTCTGGGACTGCGTAGGAGTTGCTGTAACACCACCTGTAATAGATTACTCAAGGTGAGGATGGGAAGATGAATGTGACATGAAATACTTGTTAGGTGTGAGTTCCTTGCCGGCGTGGGTGGTGTCCCTTCTGGGAGAGGAGATGGCAGATTGCTGGAAGCAGAGTTTAATAGCTACCTTTGGGAGTTGCTGTGGTTTTCTTTGTTTGTTTGTTGGGTTTTGTGTGTCTAACCTAAGACAGATGGTTACATCTGTCCCAGCAAGCAGCATAATGGAGGTCCTGAGCAGTGTTTAAACCTGTTGGGAGAAAGAAAGGAAGGAAAACAAACAAACAAAAAGTTTGCAGGTCTTGCCTGTGGTAATGAATTTGGGTGATTCTGTTTTGAGGCCTTTGAGGTGTTTCTTAAACTTCCTGCCATTTGTTGCATCACATTCGGGAGCAAGGCTGGTGACACAGAAAGGTGGTTGTTAGAGTTATGGACATCAGTTGGAGAATAACAGCAATGTCTGGAGCAGAAATTTGCTTTTAGCTTGATTGTATCTTCAACTAATTACGTGGTTTTAAATCCTCACATGACCGTACTTGTTCTTAACCTGAAGAAAATGTGTTGATTTTACTACTTTTAAATTAAAGCAAGTGAGTATATTTTAAATAGCATTGCTTCTGATGTAAAATAATGCTTGTGTGCTAGTAAAGTTAATACGCCATTTCTTTTTCAGGGTGGTGACTTTACAAATCATAATGGAACCGGTGGAAAATCCATTTATGGCAGTAGATTTCCAGATGAAAACTTCATACTTAAGCACGTAGGACCTGGTAAATAAACATATTCTTTCTACCCTGACTATATGACTAGACGACTATAACCTATCATGAATCATTGTCTATGAAGAGGTATTTAAAAAAAAACTAAGTTTTTTTTAGATGCGTGTGGCACTTTGTAGTTACAGAAATATAAGGGAAGTTTAGCAATGCCTTGTCCCTGGCATGTGCTTCTTTGTGGTGACTGCTGTACAGTGTAAGTCAGCCTGTGAGAGGTGACAGTGCCACTCTTGCTCTCACTGTTAAAAGGGACTGTGCAATTAAAGTATGGGGATTTTGTATTTTACTTATGAATCCTGAAAAGGTGAAATTAGTGCTTTTATTTTCCTCTTTCATAAGTCATAGACGTCAATTTTTACTTAGATGATTACTGCAGAAGGGAAACAGAGATCTGAAATTCCTTATTTACTGGCCTGTCCTTTTAAGCTCAAATCCAGAAAAAAGGATAAGTCATACATAAGAACAGCTGAATTCTAGAGTCTTTTTCAGATTATTTCCTCGTCACAGGAAACTACTGCTGAAGTTGAACCACAGTAGAGGTTAACTGATATTAATAACATTCAGGACATGTACAGCTAATTACGTTACTACCATTTGTGCTGTGGAAAGCAGGGAGGCTGGGCTGCAGGGGAATAGTCAGAGACAAGAAGTTGGCATTAGAAATCATTTAGAGACAATGTGAGACCATCACATCTTCTGTCTGTGCATCTTTAGTCCAAGTGTGCAGAGGAACATGGTCTTCTCTGCTGTGTACCTGTTACATCAATGCAATAAGCTGCTGCTGCTCTCGTTCTAGGTGTCCTTTCAATGGCCAACGCGGGACCCAATACAAATGGATCTCAGTTCTTCATTTGCACTGCAAAAACTGACTGGTAGGTTCTCGGCCCTGCGTGTTAACCTGATTGACTGATGTTTGGATCTGGAGGGCTTGGGGTTTTAGTGGGTTTTTTGTTTGTTTATGGGTTGATGGTTTTTTGTTTGGTTGGTTTGGTTTTGTTTGTTTTTCTTGATTTCCAATTACTTGACTCACAAGGGAAAATAAATTGTTTTATGCTACTTGAGGGAGGAAGGGCTGTGTGGGTAAGAAGGTTGCTATCCCTCAGAACAGCCTAAGGTCCGGAGCTCAAGGTATTTCGTGTCACTTGTAGAGCAGTTGTGCCTTTGCCACATAGAGTTGATCAGCGGGAGAGAGCTATGAAGGTGTGCTCGTATCCCTTCACTGAGCTTGGTTTGGTTCAGTCCTTATGTTGTTTTAAATAAAACTACCTTTGTTTTTTTGTTTTGTTTTACAGGCTAGATGGAAAACATGTTGTTTTTGGGCATGTAAAGGAAGGAATGGATGTTGTGAAAAAAATTGAGGGCTTTGGTTCCAAGAGTGGAAAACCCTCCAAAAAGATTGTCATTACTGACTGTGGCCAGCTGTCCTAGCCCTTTGCCCTGCCACTCAGGACAACTTCGATGCTGTGAAAAATCAGTCATAAAAAGCCCCAAACATTTCCGATCCCATGAGTAGCACCTATGGAGCCATATTTTCTATTTAACTTGTTCTGGACTTTTATACCTATATTGAATAATATCAATTAAAGCATAAAACAATAACTGCAACATGTTTTAACTGAGCTACCTTGGTAGTCACACTGTCACAGTGGTTTGGTAGAGTCCCACTGCGTTTTGAAAGTAGCCCTACGGTCGCCCAGAGCATATCTGACTGCAGCCTTGATGCTGTCCTTAGTATTTGGATGTTTCAGGTGTTAGAATCAGTGGTGCAGTTGACAACTAAGTGTTCTGTACTTGGGAGTTAGATATAAATTGAGAAATACCATGTTCCTGTGGTGCTAATAAATGCCTATTCTGTTGTTTGTCTCATCACTTTGGAAAAATAATACTAACTAGTGCTCTCAAGGCTGCCTGCAACAAGGCCGTCAGACTTTTTCTTTCTGTGCCTCAATTTAAGTTGATCCAATAGAACTAATGTATGATTGTGGGTTATTTTAAATTAATTCTGTCTTAATCATGTTTTGTAGTCTCAGACTGCTGTTTAAAACTGAACTCTACCTTACCTGCTTCACTAGAGCAATTTGACTTTTGGGTTAAGTAAATTGCTCTTGGTTGTGTTCACCTACTACTAGAGCTCTGCCCGGGCCATAAGACCACAAATGAGCCAAAAGATCATGGGACTTTTTTATTATGCAACTGTGAACTTACTTGAAGTGTGGTTCTGCTCTGACATGTGGTTCTGTGAGGAACGCAGCACAGTTCTCAATAAATAGCCTATTTTTGCACTTTGAGAATGTAACTAGAGAATAGTGAGCTTGCTTGAGTGACAAATGGATTTCATTGCTTTTTTGTCCTGTTGTCTCTGTGAAGTCAGCCCACCCTGGGCATTACTTGGGTTCTGATTTCTTCTCACGCATCATCATCAGAAGTCAAAATTGGTCACCACGGAATCACAAGGCCTAATTAGTGCAGCAAAATCATTATTCTTGGGGTTGATGCATGAAAAGGAAAGAATTCAGCTGATCAGCTCAACACATTTTGTTTGTTTAAAGCAGTATGTTTTATGTGGAGTAGTATCAAATGTTGGAACCTCACAACATCACTTTTAGAATCACTAAAGCTATAAAGTATTCATGCTTGTGGGACAAAGTACTTGACTGGTTTTGTGCAATAATCTTCTTACTGAAGAGCAAAGTAAAAAGAGATTACTCTCTTCAAATGTGAATTTATTTCCATTACATTTGGATAATATGTAGGTTTGAAACTATTTTGCAGTGGATTTTTTTTTCCACTGAGGGCTCCATTCTTACGTGTATGAGGTAGTATTCACAGTGTCATTTTGCAGAAATTAGAATTGACAAGTTTTTTATTCTTTCTGCTGTGGCCATTTAATCTTTCTTGGTAGTATTTTTGAAATACTAATTTGTGCTGGTTGGCTTGTTTCAATTTGATAGAATAATGATTTAATTGTGCACATGTTCTCTTAATTTGTATATGAAAAATAATTAAATACAGTTCTATCACAAAAGAAAAAGTCTGTTTCTTTCTTACATGAGATTTTGCACACTTACTTGAAAGCAGGAGTGTGAGGAGCTGAAACCTGTTGCGTTTACTCGGGCTCTTCTATTCCGTCCCCTCTGCGAAGGCTGGATCCAGTGGCATTTGGAGAGATACAGGACAATGGGGCCAGGTTTTGCCTCTTGCTGGTGAATCTAAAATATATAAACCAGGCTATTTTCTCAGAACAGTGTGTTAAGCCTTAAGTAAGTAATAGCATTGAGTGTGTTACAGTGATGTGTTAGACATGGCTGTGGCTCTTACAGACACCTCCGTGCCCCAACTTCTGAAATGTAAAAACCAAAATAGTCCATCAGAGCTGGCAGTCTTGACTAGAAGATAAATACTAAGAGATGTGGGATCCCTGTGATTGGTAACACTGGTTGGGTGTCTGATGGGGCTGGCTTTGGTCTCAGCTACCAGGCTACTAAAAGGTCAATCTCTTAAAGTTTTCTTCTATAAGTATCCTCCTCAAAATGGATTTTGCTGGGGTCCTGTTCTGTTTTTTCTTTCTTTCCTTCCCTTTATTTGAAGAGAAAGGCACAGAGCTCTCTCCCAGTGTAAGCCTTGCACCCTGTGGCATTGCAAAATGTTCCTAAACTGCAATTGCACAACTGCAGCTTGTACTGAGCTAATGTCGGGAGGTGGTTTCTGTGGCATTGCAAAATGTTCCTAAACTGCAATTGCACAACTGCAGCTTGTACTGATTATACTCGAGCTAATGTCGGGAGGTGGTTGTGGCCCCACAGGACACCACAGCACGGGTTGCAGGACCTTGGCACCCTGGGTGGCTGCCCTAGCTCGCTGTGCTCCTCTGGCTCTCAGTCTTGGAGAGTTTCTCCACTTCCCTATTGGCACCCTGGGTGGCTGCCCTAGCTCGCTGTGCTTTCTGGCTCTCAGTCTTGGAGAGCTTCTCCACTTCCCTGCACAACCCAAAGTCGGGATGGCAGCTTGTGGGTAAGTACAAGCAAATCAGCTTTTGCAAGTAATTCTCTGCCGGGGTCTAACTTTCTGCAGGACCCCAAGTGCCCGTCTGTCTCCTGTAAGTCCCCACGTATCACAAACAACTTTGAGAGAAGAGGGTTCTCCTTTTGCAGCCTTGCTTGGGGGTTTTGCCAGCTTCAAAACCATGGGTTAGAACAGGAGGAGTTGGCAGTGCCACCGTTTGTTGGTGACCTCCTTACTCCAGGGTTTTTTTACCCCTTCATAGCAAAACGATACATGTTAGGACAACAGTAAATGTTGCCTCACAGCTGTTGCATGCAGGAAAGGGCTTTGACTTCTAAATGTAATCCATTTCAACTATGCGACAGAAAACTGCCCCAAATTATTTTAAAATACATTTAGATATTAAATGGACATGCTGTCCTTGTTTTCTGCTGTTAAAAAGCATTGATCTTAAAGCAATTCAGAACATGGTTCATTTTAAAGTACCTGAGTGATTCCAGAGTAACTGCTGTTATTCATGTATATATTCAGAACCTGGAAAATCTGCTGCCTGACAAGTTGAAGCACAGTGTGATTTTTCTACCCCCTGCCAGGTGCTTTGTGACCCCAGTGCTGCCTCTGTCCCCACCAGGGACAGATCTGGTGGCTGGTGCGTGGCTGAAGTGTCCTCAAGCGCTGGCAGCCCCCGCTTGCCCTGGAGCAGAGGAGGTTTGGGCAACTCTTTGCTTCTCTTGTGGTAAGAAACACATCTCCCCACCAACTGAGCAGCATGGAAATGATTATTTCCACCTCCCTCCGTGCGCGTTAGAATGGAAGGGGCCAGTTTAGTTTGATCGCTGGTCATGGGCTGGGCCATGGGTTGAGAACTTCCATGGCCGTCCAAGAAGATCATAAATTGTTATCAATAGCTGTCTTTGGCAGATCCCAGGCGTTGATGCCCTGCTCCCTCCGTCTTCCCCTACCCCCCTTGCCCTTTCTGATGGATGCTCACAGGGCCGGTGGCGGAGACTGGCCGTTGTGCCCACGAGGTGGCACCAGGCGATCGCCCATCGTGAGCTCGGTCGCTCCGTGACGCCAGCGCTGACGCCTCCGCTGGCGCCTTTTCCTTAATAACGCACTGAAGGAGCTGGGGATGACAAAGCAGCGCTGAATTCAGGTGAGGAGCAGGTAGAATTGCGGTGGTGGTTGTAACAAATTGTCCTGCAGCTCCCCTTCAGCCTCACCGTAACGAGATGAGCTGCGTTTAATTACTCCTGAAGCACCAGAAGCTGCTGTTGGGTGTCCTGCAGGGTTCAAACCCCGCGAGCCCTTCAAGGGATGCTTTAGCTTCTCCCACATGAGAAGACATTAGTAAAGCAATGTCTTTCCCAACCGCAGCTGCTACAGCACGTCGCCATGATCTGTGGCTCACTGAGGTGTGACAGAAGGTGTTAAAATGGAGTGTGGCCACCAAAACTCTTTTTGGGTGCATGTGAAATTACAACTTGGAAATCCTGCACAATTCATGGAAGAAGAAAGAAGGTGCTCACTATGGAGTGGTGGAGATGAGATGATGAGATGAGATGAAATGATGAGATGAGGGATGGCGGGTGTGCTGCTGCAGGTTCTCACCTAGACATTTAGGCTAAGAGCTGGCACACTGGCAGAGGGGTTGTCACCACCCATGGCCCATCCACGCCCTGGGGCTGAGGCCTGGGCCTGCTGGGAGAATTGCTGCAGAGCCAGCTCCGTGGTGGTCACCACTGAGGTACTGCCAAGTGCAACACAAGTCAGGAATAACAGGCTCAGAGGGCACCCTTAGGTAAAGTGCAAATAAATATACACAGAAAAAAAAAAGAGTTTATATTTCAAAGTTGTTTCAACAAACTCACAAATGTTTTTGTTTAGTCTCATGTTTTAATTATTTGTTCCAGACTTTCTGCTTACATAAATTGCTTTCTTTGGTGCTGGACTGAGGCTGTGTCTCTTTGTTTACAAAGTTTAAGTCCTTTGAAGTCAAGAGGTTCAAGGTACAAAATGCTGTTCTCTTTTGTAGTGCCCTACACTCTGCTGGTGACAATATATCAGCAATCAGAACCTCAAAGAAGTGAATTACTTAGAATGCAAATCATTTTACGTGACATTTCAAGGACAATCTGGCTGTCCCGCTGCTAGCTGAGAATTTGTAGTTGGACAGACCCTTCCTGCCCAATTTAGAAGAAACCAGGCTAAAAAGACATTGACCTTCAAGTGAAAAACATTTAAATCTTGAACTGCAGATTTTTGTATTGAGTCTGACTCTCTTTAAAGCCATTGTATGAACCAGCTGAGCACAGGTGAATTTTGGCCTAAAATCTTCATCGCCCAAAACACCTGGGGAAGCAGCTGGCTCACTGCTTGGGGAGGCAAACAGCAGCAGAGGTGGGTTTTTCTTTTGTCAAAGTTGAGGACAAGGGTATAAGGGACTGGCAAGAGTGTAATTTAAAAGCTGGGTTGCAAGAGGACCTTCACTGTGAGCTAGAAATGGTGGAAGATGAAGGGACTCGGAGGCAATCACAGAAGGCAGGAGAGCTCACTGTAAGAGGTGGTTCTCTCACAGGGGATCTGAATGAGGACAAGTTTGCTTGACTTCAGATCCTGTGCCTAAATGGAGAAAGGTTTGAGGGATCTTGCTGCAGAAGGTTGTTGGTACCTGCTGCCTGTTCTGTCAGTGGTGAAGAAGGTGCCCTGGGACACTACTGGTGTTTTTGACTTGAGTTCAGCGCAACCATATCAGAGGTTAACTCTGACTCTGAATTCCTTGTTATTTATTAGCTGGATAAGTGAATGAAAACTTAAAATTCAGTCATTTTGGGATTGATTAAGTTTGAGAAGAATGGAGGAAAACTTGCTCAGCAGCAAACCTCATCAACTCCCAGGAATTTACCAAAACATTTGGGTCCCAGAAAAGAGCAGCATAAATGAGCAGGTAACTGGACTTCAAGCTCTAAAACTTCTGTTCCAGTCTACCAGTCCCCACTGAGAGGACAATTCTTTACCTGGTTTGATAGCACACCATGATGTTGCTTGACGTGAGCCAATGCTCACTACACGTATTTATATTTTTGAGGCTTAAAGCACAGGTTATAGCTTGTGTGCAAATGTCAACATACCTCCAGCCGAACAGCAGCCCTTGCTGTGAGTGCTCCAACGTGTGTGTGTGGTTGAGCAGAGCCACCTGCTTAACCGCACAGCACAGGGAGGGTTTCCCCGGTTATTTTTCCCCCGGTTTCTCCCCAAACGTGGCCACTGCAGCTGCGAGTGGGTGTAGGGTGA